GCCATCATCTGGATCTTCCAGATATTGAAGTTGTTGCGTCCACTGAATCTATCAATTTCAAACTTCATGGAACTCATCTTTGCTTGTTCTTCCTCCTTGGATCGTTAAAGAATCTTGTTGCTCTGATACCAATTGTTAGCGGAAACGTAAAAGAAAGAACACAAGATTTAACGTGGTTCGGATCAAAATAATCCTACGTCCACCAGAGAACAGTTGCCTTTTTAATATTAACAAAGGAAGGGGAGAGTTCTCAATTACACTTAAGAGAATTTCTCTCTTAACTCTCTACTCACTACAATGTGTTGTATTATTTTTGGGATGGTTTCTACAAATGAAGGAGTGTATCTATTTATAGAGGTAAAGACCTCCTCTTGATGTCATGGGTGACATCAAAGGAGGAAGCTTCCTCCTAGCATCCACACCAACTCTTTCCACCAACTCTTCCAATTGACATGCCATTGTTGACTAAACATAAACCAACACCTTCAAAAGTAAATGTGCTTCTCTCTAATTGTTAAACATGTAATTACTCAATCAACTGACAGTGTACTTTAAGACTTCTGCAAGCAAATACGTGAAAGCTCTAAAATCTCATTAGAGGGTCAAAGTCAAACCAATTATTGCCTCCATCTTATTTTTATTGTAGAACTTAACACTGTTATTAAGAGAAGAGCCGAAAATGTTAATTATTTAGCATTTGTTGCAGGAAGAGAAAAATGGACCTTTGTGCATTTGGACTGCAGAGATGTTATATCATAGAGAATCAAAAGAAGGTTCAGCAACCTTTTTTGATCCTTTAAAGGAAAGTGAACACACTTTTGGAAATGTCCCTACAAGCAGAGTTAAAGGAGACTGGCCTGCAAGTTGATGCTATTTTCGTTGTTTCTATTTGTACTGGTTCAGCTATAAACATTCGAAAAAATGGTTAACAGAAGAGGTCTTACGATCTAAATGGAAGTGGCTGAGGAACCAATGAGAACAATCTCTTCTCAAGTACTTGAAAGCATCCTGCAATGATGTAAACAAGACACTTTTCGCAATTTATATCAAAGTTGAGGTAAAGAATAACAAGTTTACATCCTAGCAGTTGAATAAAAGCCCGGTCCTCTATTGACATACTGCAACAATTTTCATTAGCAATAACCAAATTCACAAGCATTAAGATGCAGGAAATCATACAACTAGTTTAGCCACTAATACAGTATAAAATATGCATTGGCATTGCTTTGAATCAGAACTGTACTCTCCACTATATGAGATCCAAATAAATGTGTGTATACTATGGAGAGCTTCCAGTAACATATGTGCATTTTCAGCATCCAACTTAAAATTGGCAAAACAGAAGCTGTTGAATAGTAAATTATGCAATTTTTCCAAGAACTGAGATGATACAAAAGTCCATGCAAGTAGGTTATTTATTTAGGGTATTTACCACACGGAATGGTGTTCCTGGTACAGAACACCACACGGGAATATCTTTAGATTTTGCACTCTTGGCTGGATTTTTCTTCTGAATTCTCTTATGGGAAGCATCTGAACACGTTCTTCCAACCTCCATTTGTGCCCTACCAGTAGCACAAACTCTCTTTCTTTCCGAAACAGAACCAATAAAATAATCTGTTATCAACTTGCTTGGTTTAGTACAGGCATCATCATGTACAACTTTTGTCGCATCTCGCCGAGCTACTTTTTCCACGGCAGTTTCCTTTCTTAGCTCCAAAATAGAGTTAATAATCTTTTTCCTCGGACCAAGAGCAGTGACACCAATGCCAAATAAATCCTGCAACATAACTTGAAATAGTGGTATTAGATGGGCAAAAATACAACCAACGGGAAGTAGTTTGAGCACCAACTGAAATAAACAGCTTGAATATTTTGGTCACCAAATCACATAAATAAGATAACAGTGGAAATAGCAAGCGCAACTCAGCAAAGCCTCCCTTTACAAGTCCAATTTGGAATGGATTTAGTTTGAAGGAAAGTAAAATGTACTAATTGCTTTTGCACATAAATCACCATGAGAAGTATGTTCCATGAATACATGGCAGAGAAACAAGTCTTGATTTATAAGGTATGTGAATTTGCCAGGTATTTTCCCTCTAGGGAAGAAAATTCAAGTCTTACTTTTACCATTATCTTTTTTGGCTTGAACCTAAAACAAATTCTTTTGGGCACAAGAATTTAAAGAGAAGCTCCGGCAGTACTCAAACAATAATAACCAGGGAGTTGTCACTTCAGTTATCTTGTAAATGATTCTTCAAGACTACTTTTGGTTTCAGTTCTCACTGTTCCAGCCTTGTTCTGAACCTCCAACGGCCAACTCCAAATAAGAATTTGTAGTTCAAAACTGGTAATGAGAAACAGACAATGAGATCGATGGTTGTCATATACATTTTTCTTTCATGTGTCTCGGGGGTGCATTTAAAGGAGGCAAAGGCTGCACCATTTTCTAGAAGGGAAAACATATGAAGGAGAATCCTTGAAGCCATGCCCTCACCCTGCCCTTGAATATCCCACCTTTGGTGCCATATAGCCAATTAGAGAAATAATTGCCCTTCACATATTACCTAGGGACATAAACACATCAAATTGTTTCAAACTTTAGTATGCTCTAAAGCATTTTAATCAGCCCAATCCGTGTTTAAAATTTTATGCTTACAACAGAGTCTTTAAAGATAACCATGAATAATAGCCACGTAAAGATTACAGGTGCATTTGTGCATAAAAGCTGGACGTAATCTTTTTTTTCTTTTTTGGTACAAAAAGCTGGACGCAACCACCCTCACGGCACAAGCGCACTTTCCAAAGCAAAGAACTCCGCCAGTAACAGCCAACAAAAACATAAAACTTATACTTCCTTTTGTGTTGCCGTGACTTTAGAGATATCGTTCATTTTATAGTGAGCACAAGTATATTAAAAATGAAGAACAATAAGTAAACCTCTTCTGTCAGGGATTTTAAAGCGTCCCAATCAATCTCCTCCCGAACAAAGATTTCTTCATATTTAGCAAGTCCAAGATTTCGTAACCATTCCACAACAGGTGATACACGGATAACCTCTTTAGGAGATTGACATGGGGAATCATTAAGCACTTGCCCAGGACACTGAAAAGATACATCATTATTGGCAGTAACCACCTGCAAGATGATCAACAAATTCCAACTTAGGTAAACCAAGTTTAACTTCCCATATCTTCATTAAAAATCAGGAAACACTGGTAACGTCACTGATGAACTATAACGGCAGCAGTGACACTTGAACTAGAGACAAAAAAATGGGAAATGCAACTGAAACAACGATGTGGAAATACATTTATATTTTTAGGTGTTGAATTAGGCCCAAATTTTATGAAAATTTTATACCTTTAAGTAACAAAGATCATACAGTGGTAAATGAGGATTAGACAAAGAGCATCTTACATGAGCTGGAGTCTCCTCATTGTCAAGGCACTCATTAGTGTGAACCTCTCGCATGTCACCACTCAAATCTGAAATATCAGCTCCACAAAGGGGGCAACAAAGGAGACCATATTCATCCTCTAAGCCAAAAGACTCTACACCATCTCCTTCATCCTCCTCCTCGCCGCATAATTTGAGCAGCAAATCAAGCTCAGAGCACTCCTCCGATTCCTCCTTTCTCTCTTCAAATCCGCCATCTGAATTGAGCAACCTCGCCTCTATCGACTTAAACAAGTAACCCTTCTTTAATTCTTTCTCATTCTCCGTTCTTTGGGCCCTAGAACAACAATCTATAGTCGATTCTATGCTATCCAATCCATGACACAGATCCAAATCCTCAAACTCGGACTCCGATTTCTCGGAAATTAGTGGTTGTTGTTTTGGATTCTTGGTAGGACGAGAATTATCCAATCTATGACCCGAATCCGAATCCTCAGCACACTTTCCAACAACAATTAAGTTCTCCTTGCCGCCGTGTAGTGGATGCTGTTTTGGCTTCTTGGAAGGGCGAGCACTGGCAGTATTATTATTATTCTTATTATAAGGTGCAAGAGGCTTACGGGAGTGAATTGTTGAGGTGGGTTTTGGCAATCGGAGCTGAGAAGGAGATGGATCTTGAAAATCGTCATCGTCCACGAGAGCTGAGTGTAAGGATTGGGATTGTGAAAGAAGAAGGGTTTTGTTTAGGGTTTTGGGGTTGGAAGCACCGGCCATTGATGTGAGGAAGGAGAAGCTTCTGGAGAAAGAGGCAGTAGGTGTTGTGTGAGTGGTGCTTTCAAATTTGTAACGAAGACTGGTGGAAAACAAATGGAGGGAACCGCCAAAATTCAATCGGTGTGGGCCTAACTTGATTAATGATAAATAACATAAATGATACTCTAATTTCAAAGACCTTCCTTCAAATTTGGCTTCGTAACACTATCATATTTGTTATTTATTAAACGATACTAATGCTGCACTGTGGGTCGGTCCTGAACCGGATCGGACCGGGCCTGCGGGCCTAACGGGCCTGGTGGGCCGGTCCTAACGGTGCCTTAAAGCCCGAGGCGGGCTGGTCTTCCATGTTAAGCCCACGAGCCCGGGACTGGTTAGCCCCGGACCGGCTGGCGGGCCTGGTCCGGGACCAGCGGGCCTAACGACTATAATTTAAAAAAAATAAAAATAAAAAAAACAGCCCTACGTCCATATTTAAAAAGTAGCCGTTTGGGGCTTTTTTCTGATTGTTTGGTAGTTTATAAAATAGTCATTTGGCCCCCAAACTTTATATAATTACACTTTTTCATTTTTCAACTATCAATACCCCCTAATTCTTTCATTTTTACTCACCAATTCATCAATCTCTCTACTAGAATTGCTTATTTTATTGTTGAAACTTCGTGAAAAATTGTGAAGTTAATGAATTGAAGTCATCAAGTCTTCAACGATTTTCAATTTTCAAGAAGTTGTTCGGCAATCCGGTAAACTCGTTTCAACTCTTAAGTTTTAAGAATATATTTTTGTGTGTTTTAGTTTGCATAATTGTAATTAATATGGCATTTTCTTTGAAAAAAATATTTGGTAAGGGAAAAGATAAAACCGGTGAAAGTAGTGGTCAACCAACTACCCTTCCCCCCGGCTCCCCGACCTACAAAAGATAAGCAAGTTGAAAGTAGTCGCCAACCTAGACGTCTTCCTCCTCCCGTAATTCTTGATAGTGATCACCCTTGTTTTCAATTTACCGATAGTGAATTTTGCCATAATGTTGCACCAAGTGAAAGATTAGATGATGAAATTATAAATGCTCTTTATCCTAATGAAACTATCTTAGAAAATAATGAGGAAAATGAGGATGATGATGAAACCAAGCACCAGATTTAGATGATACACCTACTAGTCCTGTTAATAACCCAACTGATGCACCGGCCGACCCACCTGTAGAAACTCCTACTTTTAATAGAGAACCTGCTAAACGCCTAGAAACATCATTAGTTTGGAATTTTTTTACTCAAGTAAGAGAACAAAATAAGGCTAAGTATAAAACTTGTGGGAAATTAATGGCGCATAAATATACTGGAGACCGTAGCGGTATGGGTAATTTGACTAGGCACATAAAAACACACCCTAGAGATAAAGCTAGATTTTTACAAATGAAAGCGTAGCTAGAGGGGACAAGTGTAGATTCTACGGTTAACCCTAGTACAGGTTCAAATCTAGTTCAACCCGGAATTAACACTGTGACCGGAGGTATTTTATATTACGATCCTAATAGAGATCGTGAAGAGTTAGCAAAGATGATTACCGTTATGTGCTTACCTTATACTTTTGCTTCTAATCTTAATTGGATTCATTATATTAGAAGAGTTTTTAATCCTACTTATAAAGGTTGGCCTCGCGCAACAGTTAAGAGTGATATTTATAAATATAAACATGAATATGAACAATATGTGCGGTATTTATTTACTCATATAAGTAATCAGATTTCTATTACTACTGATATTGGTAGAAGTGGTAATGATTGTGATTATGTAACTGTTACAAATCATTGGATAGATGAGGAGTGGACAATGCAAAAACGCATTATTGCGTATTGAATAATTAATTCATGTCACACAGGTAAGTTTATAGCTAACACTGTTGCAGATATTTGTAGATATTTTTGCTTTAGAGATAAAATAATGGCAATTTCTATGGATAATGCTTCTAGTAACACTAGTGCTATAGGCATACTTACAACAACACTAAATCCCGCATTTAGAAATATATTCCATGTTAGATGTATTTGTCATATTTATCATTTAATTGTCGGTGATGGTATGCGAATTTTAAATTTAGAAATTGAAAAGGTTAGAATGGCTCTTAATTGGCTTTTTTATTCAAACCGTAGAAGTAGACTAAGAGAATATTTTAAAAAATGTGATGAATATGGCCTTAGAGAAAGAAAGGTTCCTAAACCTTGACCGACTAGATGGAATTATATGTACGAAAGTTTAGTAGTTGCATATGAATATAGAAACTCAATTAATGGAACGTTTAATGCTCGGGTAGGTGGTGAGGATGATGATGAAATGCTTACTACTCAAGATTGGACGAATGTTAAAATTCTTATAGATTTTTTAGAACATTTTCAAATTGCTACAAATGCATTTTCTGGGCAATATTATCCTACTATTTCAAACTGTTTAGTTTATATTGCAGCACTATGTGATTTGTTTGTTGAATTTTCGGAGGGTGGGGAAATTTATCAACTTGCTATAAATGCAATGAAAGAAAAGTTTAAAAAATATTTTTTCCCTATCCCTCCTATTTATGGTGTTGCTGCAATGTTGAATCCTACAATGAAATTAGGAGGTCCTTATTTTTGGTACTCAAATATTTATAAGGCTTTAGATCTTTCAAATGAGGAATTTGCTACACTTGCAGATGCAAAAGCATCAATTAAAATTAATGCTGAAACAATTTATAATGATTATCAACTTGCCTTAGAACATGCTAGGCCAAATGTTCCAACCCCTACTTCGTCTAGTTCACAATCGTCTAAAAGAGCTGCGGGCTTAAAAGTACTTAAATCTTGGACGGAGTTCAGGGGTTCTCAAGGTGATAATTATGATGAAACTTCACATCTAAATGAGCTTCAAGTTTATTTGTCGCAGGGACTTGAAAAGGAAAATTCAGACGGTACTTTTGATCTTTTGGAATGGTGGAAGGCAAGGAAAAACATTTCCCGGTTCTTGCAAGGATGGCTCAGGATATTTTATCTATTCAAGCTTCAACTGTTGCATTAGAGAGCGCTTTCAGTCAAGCAAGACTTNCGAAAATTAAAAAGCCCGTTGGGCCCGCTAAGCCCACGAGCCCGGCCCGTTTAGCCTAGGACCATATGGGCTTAGGCCCGTCACGGGCTGGTTCCACCCGTTGAGCCTACGAAGCCTGGGACCGTGAGGCCCAAGACCGCCAGAGACCGGGACCACTAGACCCAGGCCCGTTAAGCCCAGCTCGTTTGGCCCATTTAGGCCCGGGCCCGACCCAAGGTACAACATTAAACGATACTATGCTTAAATTTATTTTTTTATTATAATAATTATTTTAATCTATGTATTGATAATTTGTATGTTATTAGGCCATAATATTGTGCTAATTGATTAAACTACCGAGAGTGTCATCCAAAAGTTTGACCTATGGAAAAGCACATTAGAGAATAAGGGTCGTTTGATTGAGGAATAAGTTGTTTCGGATTTTAATGACGTGATTATAATATAGAAATTAAATAGTAACGAGATTATTTAGTGGATATATTTTTTATTGGGGATGTTTGGTTCGTTGGACTAAATATTCGATAAAGTATAATATAAAATATATGTTTGGTGTATATTAGATAAGTTGGGATAAAATTTTATTTCTAATTTTAAACTTGATTTTTTTAAAGGAATTTGGGGGGAGTGCGTTTGAAAAGGGCATATTTGTCATTGTAGTATTTTATCCCGAATTAAATAATCTTTAAACTATTATCCCACCATCAATGTGAAATTAAATAATTCATAACTATGGAATAAATTAATTCTGATATTGCTAATTTTAGATTACAAATTCAATCAAACACATGATATAATAATTTCGCATCTTATCCCGGGACTATTATCCCTTGTCCTACCAACCAAATGACCTAAAGGGTTTTACGAAGTAGAAGTAAAACTGAGTACATGCATTACAAGTTTAGTCAGCATGAGAAGAACAAAGTTGATGTGAAACTAAATGAGTTTATGGTGCCAAAATGCAAACAATTTAGATATATAGGCTCACCGTTTCAAGAGAATATAATAATAGATGAAGATGTTACTCATATGATTAAAATTACATAGTTGAAACGGAAAAGTACTACTAGGATATATATGATAAAAGGATGTCTACCAAAGTGTAAGGTAAGCTTTATAGAATAGTTAAAAAATTTGCTATGTTATATAATAATGAATATTGGGCTGCTAAAGTCCATTATTCATATTATGAGTGTTGCAGAAATATGGATGATAATACGGATATTGTCACGACCCAACCCGATGGGCCGCGATGGGCACCCGGTACCTTACTTAACTGAGTACCAACATAACGTATCTTTTCGTATCATGCTATCATAGGTAAATGAGACAGAAAGGCTGTCATATGATAACTAAAATAAAATATGTAATACTAACTTATACATAAGATATACAGGCCTAAAAGACCAAATGACCACTCATATACTGAACATAGGCCGACAAGGTCATACAATACTTTACGTACATGACATATGTCTACAAGCCTCTGAGAGTAGATAAATACCATAAAGGTCGGGACCATCGATTAGAAAAAGCAAAAATACAATTAGAGGAAGCCTGATTCTGACTTTCTCTCTGAGTTACATGATAAACCCAACTTCAGGACCATCGATCCAAAGCCTTTCTCCAATTTGAGTGTGTCAAGGTTCCCTAAGAGCCTTAATGGGACTCCGGGCAATAATTACACCCAAATTGCATTATCAAGATAGGGGCAAGTGCAGTGTGGAAGTACAAGCCCTCAAGTGTCCAAGTTTAGAAGGAACTCAATGGGTCCCAAGGCGAGGATCACAAGAGGGGGGCGGAACTTAAAGTCTAAGAGAGAGTTCAAGCGAAGAGTAGAGTTATGGGGAATAAAGGAGAGAGAAACAGCTACAAACAGGTGCACAAAAGAGGTTCAAGGGAATAGGGAAATTGTAAAGAGCCTATTGCTTAGGCAAGGGCAAGCTTTAGGCATGACCAGCAATGGAGGATGCTGGCATACCTATAAGCTTGCCAGAAACACACACTATTAGAGGCTAGG